AACGAATGCAAAACTAATGCGAAGTCGTTGTTCTTGAATTGTATTCTGGAGTTTTTTTGTCTTTGAATAGAGTCTTTATCTACGAAAGTGTCGTTTGAATACGTTTTCTACACACTCGAACCATGAACAACTGAAATTTTTTGAACATTTTTCTGGCGACTGTAGAATGAGTTCCCTTCATATTAACAAAAGTATTAACCTTTTTACAGCGTAAAAATGGTAATGATTTGCATTAAACTAAGGGCCCTCAGTCTATCGTCACCAGAAAAAATGTACAAAAGAATGTACCCGTTACGGTTCAAGTGTCCTTTTTTACTGTACTGAAATCACCATTGAACAATTTCAGTGTAGCGCACTCAATCGCACCCATGAGAAAAAAATGCACATTCAAACCATTTATTAGAGTGTACGTATCACGCAAAAATAGCGACTTCAATTCGGACACTTCCATGTCATCACACTCCAGTTACGATAAAATATGAAACGCGTGCGGAGCTGTTCTTAATGCGATTGTTATGGATATTGTCTCACCTAGAGTTCGATATGCTGTCTGTCACATATCGTATTTGCAAGGATTGAACTGAAGCAGAAAAGCCAATTACTTCCACAACAAAACCTGTGCTGGGCCACCTAAAGAATATCTCTCTACGACAGGTTGAGGATAAGTTTTGTATCAACGAACGTGCACGCTAAATGGAATTCGTCATAACCGAAGTTAAGGCAATGTGTAAAAAGTGAGGAACCATTTGTTTGATCCGGTTTTGCTGACATTCAGGTAACGTTATCAGCAGACACTGAACTGGGGTGAGGATTAAGCTCAGTGTCTTCTCTCGGAACGCAGCTGAACGCCATAAGCATACTCATACAGTACACTCTTTTTTATATAGGTGAATATTGTTTTTCCGGCCCAGGCTAAATATTCATACTTTTCTGTCGATTTTAGGCTGAAAATAGTCTTAGATTGTAGCGTATGATACTTCCGTTTTAAAAGAATGTATCCGAGATATCAGTTACAAGTGTTTGGTGTCGAGATAGCGTTGAAGTAGTTTTCCAGCCAAACTGCAGGCAAGGAAGCCTCTGAAGCCTGATATGACACTCATACATAACTTCTTACAGATTTGTTATTGACACACTGCTTTTCTTGTTGTATTTGTAAATAAATTGGTTTTTTTTTGCTAGTTTTGCCGTCTAGAGAAAGGTAGTATTTTATACGGTTGAGTTAAAAACACATAATTGTGTTGCATGTATTTACAAATTTTCCACACGTAAAAATGCTAGTCTTCTCGAAATCCCAACCTCGGTTTCATCATTCTTAAAATTTCGCAAATTTCAGCCTCGATATTGCTATAAAATATATTCTTATAAAAAAGAGTGCTCATAATAACGACTAAAGCGACATGGCTGTAAGGAATTATCGCTGAGGAATCGAACAGTTCATGGCAAATCTTGTGCCAAAACATTACTAAGCGTATAGTTTTTGTCTGAGCGACATGCCTATTATTCTTTAGCCTTCACTAGCCGATAGGACATAGCATAAACGAAAGCAGTAGAAAGATTGAACTGATCATTCCCCTTGTACTTCTCTCGCTGTGATTCGTGGTGGCAACAACAGTTTCACGGGGCTTGTGTTCTTAACCTGTGTTCGCTCTTTTCACGTTAATTTTTGTCCGTTGTGGCTGCTTTTCTCATTAACTTATACTTAAGCTTGCTCTTGATCTTAATTATGGTCCTGTGCTTGTGCCTATAGTTAAACAACCAAGTTTCAACATAACGTTTCATTAATAGCACAACTTTTAACTAATGATTGTTCAGAGTAAAATCCAGATACATCCACGAGCAATTAATTTTCTCATCATAACTTTTTCTTACAGCAAGGAAAGCACCAAAAACAATCAGCAAACCAGCACAACCATACTGGAATATAAAGAGAAGGTTACGATTGACAAACAACAACAACAACTACAAAATCGTGTGTATGTCTTCTCCATTAGTAAGCAACATCTTCAGAATAAAACTTTCATTCCGCGGAAGCTGTGTTGATTTCTCCGTTTTAAAGTAATACATAATCACCGATTCTTTGCTTAGTCTTCGGGTAAATTAAATGCTCAACATTTTCATTCACTCAACTGGGATTCATCCAAAATTTTGCGTAGAGAACCTGGGTGAGTAAAGGAAGGAATCCGCGTAAGAGCTTCATAAATCTCAGGTAAATCGGGTGACTTAAAAGACACGAGAACGCACCCAAAAAACTCGTGTTAAATTGGTTGTAGTGCTGTCAGTATTGCAAAAAACAAGACTGAAGTCGTCTGTAAAAGAGAAGGAACTGGCCCAAAAAAAATGGCAGAAAGAATTGGCCATAGATCAAGAACCATTGAAAAGCTGGCTTATAGGAATTATGTTTTTGCTCGATTTGTAAGACTGGCTTGTTGCTTTCGGTAAAACACTATAGAAAGTTTTTAATTTCGGTTTAAAAACGGGTACAAGTTCAGAAGTAAATACGAGAACGCACCAAAAATAACTCGAGATAAATTGGTTGTAGTTATGTGAGCATTGCAAGAAACAAAACAGTAGACGCCTGTAAAAGAGAAGGAACTGGCCGAAAAATATGGCAGAAAGAATTGGCCATAGATCATGAACCGTTGAAAAGCTGGCTTATAGGAATTATGTTTCTGCTCGATTTGTTGCTTTCTGTAAATTTATTGCTTTCGGTAAAACACTATAGAACGTTGCTAATTTCGGTATAAAAACGGGTACTAGTTCAGAAGTAAATAGATATGGACAAGACTTCGAAACACCATGGCCCAAACCTAAAAAATCACCTTGAGGTTGGCTGCAAAACAAGATTTGCAACTTATTCGCTAGTTAATAACCAGACATTTTTGATCTACAAAACAAAGAGTAACTTCTTAACAGAACGCAAACTGAGTTGAGAAATCAAACATCAATTATGTTCGATAATAAGCAAGAGAGAATGGAGAATTGATTCTGTGTAAGGAAACTGGCAACACATACATTGTAAATATTGGACAACACGACAAATCAATTGTTTAACTTCAGGGAGATGCGTCTCCTTGGAGTCAATGAAAGGCGAGTCTTGATTCGTCCCGATCAATCCTGTTTCGTCTTGGTACGACATGAGTAGTAAGAAGGAGATTTTACCTTGCCGAGTGCCGTTCTTCCGCTTGGGTTAGCGCAACTCCTATTTCTGTTTCTTGACTTAGATTCAGCGCTAATTGCTTCAACACGACATTACTTATTCACATCCAAAACAATTCGCGAAGAGAAAAAACAAGCCAAAACAAAACAAAACAGAGCCAACTTCATATTATTGAAGTTATGCCATCAACAACTACAAGCTTGTATCCATACATTGTAAACAAGCATTGAGGACCAAAATGGAAACTTCATGACTGTTCATGAGTACAATCATCAAAGAGCAAAAGTTAACTTGCTGTCTTATCGTTGGATTTGTTCTTCTTTGTTTACATTTAAACTACTGCTAATCGCTGAACACACTTACCTATCCATCGATAGGCTAGATCCACAGGTGAACTTATCCTTACCTCACCATGTGTTGCCGCTATATAACAAT